AAACAAAAATAATTACGCTTCGTTTTTTAATTCATACATAAACAAAAGCCCTTTTAGTTAGTGAATTGGCAACTAGTTTAACACGAGAAATACGCGTTCATTTTGTTTATTGAAAATTATTTTGAGCTTTCACACCGAAACCTACCTACTACCTTCTCTGTGGTATTCAAAAGCGAAACAGTTTATTACTTTCGACTCATTGATAGATTTTCATTTCGAAGCGATGCTCATTTCAAAAGGTGATCAACAGAGTTCGAGGCTACATGGCATGATATTAAAAACGTAATATCTCCGTCTTCATTGAATTCCTTTATAGATAGGTACAGTGCTAAGTTAAAGTTTGGCAGAAGGATTACCGACAACGTTGTTCAATCTAGAATGCTCTCACCGTCCACTTCTCCGACTTTTTCATTAAACACCATTGCGTATATTACCATTTTATGTTTCATCTGTATCTATTATTTGATTTCCTTATTTCTTTTTACTTATCAACATTTGACAAATTCAAAGGTTTATGCTTCGAACATTTTTGTCCACAATGATATCACTTTATTTGAAACACAAAAGCGATACAAATACAAAACAATATACTATCACTACATAGTATAAAACAAAGTCGTCCCGCTTTCTTTATGTCCCTATGTATGCTTAGATCTTTAAAACTACGCAACGGATCTTCATGCGGTTTTATTACTAGATAGGGTGATCCAAGAGGAAGATTTATATGTATAATAATAAATTGCACCCGTGGCAGGTCACTAGTTATAAAATAAAACAATAATCAATTGTTTCTTACAAACAATAAAAAAACAAGTAACAGTGATTTGACTTAAAAATGTTTATTATAAAAGCTACAAATAAATAAATATTTTAAGGTGACATTTTCACATAACATTCTCTAGTCCCAAAAAAAGCAACGCTGGTACTAGGTAACTGATAAACATACTTTTCTTTTGTAAATAAAAACATATTATATTATACATATATAAACAGCCCGACAATAGAAAAACGTTATGTTCATCACACAATATTTTTCCAGTAGTGGAGATCGAACCCACACTCTCTGGCGCAGGAGGCAGGACATTACCCACTACGCAATTCGGTCTGTCGATTTAAAATACTAAAAGATAAGTAGTAGGTACTTATATTTAACTATTCCGTATAACTAACGCCACGTTCAACTAACTATGATTGTAGGAAGTAATAATTTGGTATATTAATGACGTACCAATAAAAATCCGAGCAGAGATATGTTAATTGGTAACTCTCAAGAGTCAAAGTGTAGCGAAGTTGAAACAATAATTAATTATCTAGCGACAGCAAACATTTTCTACATGTTTTACATTGTAGTGATTAAAAAAATCCCAAGGAGAATTCACGTCAGGCAGGTCGTGATAAATAAAGCCAAAAGCGCAAAAAGTAAAATTATTCACATATTGTGGTGATCCCAGCTTAGTGGGATGAGGGCTGGAGGATGACGATGAGTGAATAAAAAATTTAAATTTAATTTTTTTTATAATGCTAATCTCTGCACTTAAGATTAAACATTAAAATTTGTAGAAAAAAAGTCAGGCCGCGAATGCCGAAGACGTGGGTCCATTCCAACAGCGACGACAATCTTTTCGTACATTTTCTACAAATTAAAAAAAAAAATATGTTACAAACTTTGCAACTCTCCAATGCTTGAATTGAGCCAGAATGAAATGCCTTTGTGATGTCGGCTTGCCATCTCGCTACAAGGAAAGACCCCATGTCCCTATAGAGGTTCGCTGTTGGGCCGTTCCGTGAAGTAACATTATTGGTCCATCTCTCATCTTGCAATCGCGCATCATGCCTTGCCTATTTCCATTCTTTAGAGACGTAATAATTTGATGTTACATATTTGAAAGTTGCATAATTCTACTAGCTTGGAGTCTAGTCGACCTTATCGCGACCTATTTTAAACACTTTGTAAATGCTACGTATTTTAAAAACTTATTTTTGCGTATTATAGTTTTTTATTCCTTCTAACGTCATGCTTATCTTGCTTTATTTTAAATCTCCTAGAGAGTGAAAAAATATAATTAATGATAATTTCATTTTAATACGCGGTATGTTTCTCACTTTGTATACACAATTAAATGCCCTTGAGCTATGAAAACCGATTTGTGTTCATTTTGAAGCAATAATTAATGTTCGCTATGAGTACAGGGACTACAAAAAAGAAATTAAAGGAAAATAGGTCGAGGCTTAGCGCGCCATACAATTTGTAAGAAAGCTGTAAATTAATTTTTAACTTCCATGCACCCTCGAAAAGAATTGTTCCCAAAAATCATTGGACCTAAATTTTGATCATTCGTCTTTCTGCTCTTTTACGTATTTCTTTTGAATGCATGTTATGTTTTTTACTAGTAAGCAACAAAAATGAACTGTTTACAGATTGTTAAATTAATAGTTTACTCTTTAAAAACATTTAGCACCTCCTGGTCATTGACAAACCGAGACAGCTTGGTGTCCGGGCGCTGGCTTTTAATTGAATTTACTTGATCAACCCGAGTTCAAATCTCTTTGTTGAATTGAAATTTGTTGAATTTGAATTTTCTTAAAATGAAATTGTTGCTTGTAATTTTAAGTGCCGATTTATCGCTAATCAACATCTCTGCATATTTTCGTAATATATTTCAAAGATACTGTCGGTGTCACTGGGATTTCTGCTCTGCTGTTACTTTACGTTCCTTAGAATAAGGTCCATTTATTACGAACTAAATTTCTTTTCACTAATTTTGTAGATCACCTGTTTTTCATTTCACGCTTTGTTATATTATTAATTAATCAACTCTTCGTTTTTCCGTACCATTTTTTTTTTGTTGAGTAAATCCGGTGATGGAATATTAATACTTTCAGAAGGCAAAATACCATCGCTCCCAAAGATATTTTTATAATAACTGTAATTGTGTATTTTATTTGGTAAATAGTAATAGTTCGTTTGAACTTTACGTATATGTAGCGGTAATAGCGACTCGCCTACACAGGCTTTAATGCTAGTGGCGTGTTTCAATGATTTTGCCCTTTTTAAAGCGGCTTTCTGTGGTCGGCTTCAGGCTTACCACCTATGTCTATCACGCCAGGTATTTATACGTAAGATGTTGTAAGATCTTACATATTGTATATACTATTTCAGATAAGTTGCCTTACACATTTAAAAGTAGATTTGTATGTGCAAATACATATTATTATTAATTGGTTATTTTTAAAACGTTCTTTCATAAATCGAATTTAATTAGTAATATTTTAACACAAAATTACATTCTTTGACAATTATGTTGTTCATTACGAATCTTGGAGATCTGACTCCAAGAATCTCTTTTGACTCCTTGTAATGATGAAGCAAAAATGTAATAACTTCACAATCCAAATGGATAACTCATCAGTTTCCAAAATGATTATCGAATTATTAGCACACATCTATTTTTATTTTCTGATGTGTACGATTCAATTAGGTGTAGCGTCTCTTACAAAAAAAAGTCTTTCAAATCACTAAAACAACAGATTTTTCATCGCGTATATATCATAAAAAGTTAATATCCATCGAAAGGATTAAAAACCGAAGTTTTTAACGCAAATTAAAATTTGACACTCGTGAATTAATCCAATGAAAGTCTGTATAGATACCATAAAAAGTAAAGAAAATACAGACCAGTAATACAATTTTTTTTTTACACTTTCTTTGTCTAAATTCTTTCAGAGATTGTACTATGATTTCCAGTTGAAATTTTTTATGAAACTTCTAGCTGAATACAAACCTGCCGTTGGAACTTTGGAATAAAAAGTACACAAAAACACTCTCCTGTTAAATAATTATGTTGTTAACAAATATTAATCCATAATATCACATTAATCAGCTTGTTTTAAGTTTTGCAAACACAAACATGCGGAAGTCAAAATTTTATATATACATAAGATAAACCAATGTATCAATTAATAGTGAGTGAGTTACATCCACTTTTTTGACTCCTTATTATAAATTTTTATTTCACTAATACAAATCAAATATGAACTATTATTAAAAATTCAAAAGCAAACGACACTATACATATGTGTTTCAGACAAGAGGAAATTTGTTTGATTTTCTTTTTCTGTAACATTGAACAACGTTTTCTGTGACATGGAGCCAGTGAATCGGATATGAGAATACAAAGAAACGTCAGAACTGCTTACTGTAACTGCCTCCATCCGTCATCCTCAAATGTTCGATTCCCTCGATACTTGCAAACGAATCGACAGTTCGCGTTTTCGTAATTCGATACGGTTCTGATATATATTTCTGATATATTCATTTCATTTGCTGTTTTGTGGTATCGAAATCGAATAGAACTGAGGGCTTTGAGTGATAGCATTAAAATATATAGTAAATATAAAATTACGTATTACATACGTAGAAGATTTATTATATATTTATATGTACGTAATACGTATATACTAAGTTATGAGAATAGTAAATACATAACCGAAAGCTTTAGGAAGCTTTATGTGGATAGCGTCTGTGTTGGATTTAACTATATGTATATTATGTTCTGAAATATTAGAAAAGATCTTATGTAAGAGCATCAACATTAAATACAAAACAACAGTTGACAAAGCGCTAACACATTTATTTAACGAGAAATCTGTGAAATGATAACAAATGTACCATTTACTTATTAAATATGTGAACTGTAACATTTTATACAGCTTACCTGTATAAAACTTGTCAATTTTATTTTTTCGTTAATTCTTTCAATTCGCTTCAAGTAAATAAGAAACTTTGTTATATTTTCTCGTTAATGTAAATAAGAAACTTTGTTACATAAATGCAAGTTAATCTCAGTTAATTTAGCGCTTATTTCGTTGAAGTAGTATTTTGAAGAAGCAGTATTTCACAAGTTTCTTACATGAAATAAATTTCGAAGTTCGATAAAAAATTTTGTACCCATTTATATTCACAAATTATACCTAAAATTCCTAACTTTGTAACTTCTTACCTGTCCGTGGTTAATGAAACCATGTCTGTGGGCCAGGTCGTCCGCATAACTTGACCCATCTGGTATATGGAGGGCGAACTGATCGTGGTACAACGGCACACATAAGTCCAGCACTGTCAGCAGTATGAACACGACGAGCGAGGGCATCACGCACGTCGCGCATTGCACGTCCCTACCTTAGTATAAATCTTGTCACTTTCATTTATCAAATAATTCAACTGAGTTGGACTCTCAGAGTAGTGAATTTTGCTTCAATTCTTACTTCGAGAACTTTCACCCGCGTAATGTTAACAAGTACGCGCAGTCGTGTGACGTATCGCTCGCGCGTAGCATATCACGTAGCACCGTCTACGCCCGTCTAGGGAGGCGTCTACGCGAAGACTGAACCCGCGTGACTGTAACTCCTGCCCATATACCGCGATTCACGCATGCGCCAAACTTGGCGCCCTTTCTTTAGCCTACTTGCTATCCAAACGTATTGTGTGCATGGCATCAATTGTCCCGCATACTTAATTGGAGTGAGCCTCAACTTACCTGCCTGCCTATTGTTGAAAAGTTTACAGAAGCAAGATTCCAAACTAATCACTTCTAATTATTAATGTTTCCGGGTAAATTAAAGATTTATTTTCTATAAAAAAACTGTTTAGCAAAACCGAAATTCAAAATTGAATTTAAGGATAACATATGTCGAAATCATTTTTCTGTTATTTTTCCCCTTCTGAAGATAGGATAGTGCACTGTTGTTTCGACTATTAAGTTAATGGAAACTTAAACTGTAAAATGATACTACGTATATATAGTACAGAATGGGGCCATGTAACAGCTTCTGCTGTTGTACGAATGGGGCAGGCTCGTCTGGGAAAAGACCAAGGCCTCACAGAAGACCGGCGTGAAGTGGAAATGTTCAAGCTATGCGTTGTTTAAAGGTTGTCAACTCATCAGCATGCCATCGACGGCGGTATTTATTTAAATTGATATTGAGCCCCTAAAAGTTTATATTAGGGGTTCAATATCAATTTAAATAAATTAACATTGTGATAACCCATTCATAGAAGAGCAGATCTGCAACAGCAAAAATATTAATCCAAATATTACCTTAAATGTTCACTGTTGCTAGATCTTCGATGTAATTTACCATGTAAGCTATCGATTGCGCACACAATTTTTTTCCGTATTATGAATTTTAAAACATTTGTCTACATTTTTTCATAAGAAGAAACAGTTCAAATGAATCCCCTCATTCAGAATCAAAATGAAAATAAAAAAAAATTGCAGTTTTCGTTTAACTACGATCAAAATTGGAAACATCTTAAAAAAATACTTATCTCTAGTAAAGAGTATTCTAGGCCATTGTCGGCTCACTAATGTTTTGATCGGGCGCCATGAAGCCTTTTTTGATCATTTTTCTTCTAAGAGATTAACTGAGATTAGATCAACTATCAACAGACAATAGGAAATGAAAGAATTAAGTTGTATCGTAAAGTTCTTACTTCATACGTCAACACTTTCTACTCAAAACATTTGACGGACAAAAAATATGACATAAACGCTACAAGTGGAATCACCTGCTTTGAATCTGTGTTCACGGAAAGGCCTGATGCGTCCAATGTCCCAATGTTTTTGTTCAACCATTTTTTGGGTTCCGTACCCAAAGTGTTAACAGGACCTTATTACTAAGACTCCGTTGTCTGTCTTTCTTTCTGTCTGTCTGTCCGTCTGTCACCAGGCTGTATCTGATGAACCATGACAGTTAGATGATGTAATTCTGTTGCCGCTATATCAACAAATACACAAAGACAGAATAAAAAAAATTCAAGTGGGGCTCCCATGAATTGCTTCATGATTTTATTTGCCGTTTTTGCAGATAATGGTACGGAACAATTCGTGCCCGAATCCGACTCTTACTTGGCCCGTTTTTCAGCTCCACCGAGTTGTCGACGTCTTTCAATTGTTTATTTTTGTATCGTACTAGAAATTGTGCCTACGGTATTTGTGGGTAGAAATGTGTTTTTCAATAGCCTCGTGAATCATGTGGGATGTGAGATAGTAATCACGATTAAACACTGTCGAATGTGTCAATAAAGATTGGAATTCAAGGTTTATCAGAGTGTTACAACCAGCAATAATGTATAGTGAATCCATATGGTCCGTGAATGTTTTTTATTCAATCAAAGAATAAATATGGCGATATGATTAAATATCCTGTAGGTTAATTAAAGTTATTATATTTTGTAAATTTATCTCTAATTAGCAGCGATGTATGAAATACACCAATTTACTTATTTTCAAATATCATGTTTGGTTTTTACCATACTTAAGGTATTTTTATCATAATTAAAATAGACATTTAATAAATATCATAATTAAGGTTGCGACAATGCGATTTTATAAATAATTCAAAACATTTCTTAAACGGTAATATTGTATTGTATTGTAAAGTTAATGGAATCATCTCTTCTTCTACATCCATTTTAACTGAACTTATTTTGACAAGAATATGTATTTTTTTTTATTACTCATATGCCTATGATTAATATTCTCTTTCATAAAACTTGGATATGGAATATATAATAATCTGACACTTTTAATAATGAATTAATGGTTTGTATATTTAAGATGTGCATTATTTACATTTATATCAATACTAGATCACCTTCTTGTGTGTTCTTCTTCTTGAATTATAAGTAATCATTATAATCTACAAATAAATACTACGTTGTCTTGTATATGGGTAATTTAACAAAATTTTACTAATACTTTATAATAGAGACTAAACGCTTTTGTTTGAAAAACATAGTAAAGTTTTGAATGGCGATTACATGAAAAGCTTCGTCGCAAACATGGCAACAGCTGCCATCTTTTGGTGGAAAAAAGTATCCACGTTTCACGTAGTTTCTCCATTTAATAAAAAAACAGCCTAGTAACGCCCTCTATTGAAATATAACATAATGTTGATGTTTTCACGAGGTTCGCTAGTTACGATTCGTTATTAGTTTTCCTGGTGATCCGTTGTATAAACTTGAATGTTTTTATAGAAGCATTAACTTATGAGAAATAAAAGACATCGCTTATAAATATATTTACTCAATTTATTCAATTAAATAAATATATTAAATAAATGAATATACATCTAGCAGTAATGACATAGAAAACATCCGTCGATGAAAGTCAGATCAAAATAATTTTTACAATTTCGAAGATTACCTGTAGCAGACAAACGGATTCACTTGGGTCTCGGTACTAAAATCTATGCGAGATTATGATTAACATTTTACATCGAAATCTCAGACAGACTCTTTTATTTTTATTTTTTTTTAAATTGATTATGCCGAAGAATTTTATTGTACCACCAAAATAATCACATATTTTTAACATTAATATCATTGTTTTCGTAGGAGTGTAATAAAGGGCAGAAGAAATCTCTCCTGATTTCTTTGTATAAAGGCAGCTGCTATATTTAAAAGCCGGGTTTAGTGTAAGCTTTTATGACCTAATAAAATTCTTTTAGAACCAAGTAATATTGTTAATCTTGACTTCGTACGAAATTGCGCACTTGATAGTTGCAATGGAAAAAACTTCCAACACCACGATAAATATATATTTATTATATATTGAAATCATAAATATATATATATTTTATATTGAAATCGATCATTTCACTGTATTTCTCATGAGTCCCTTTTTATATTATATTTATAACTTATGTGTTATATATTAAAATATATACACGTATTAGTATTTAGTAAAATTTATAAGTACATGTTACTAAAAGAATTGGTCATACCGTACTTGGTTAAGGCACTAGCTCATTAAAACCTTAATTTTTGCCTTTCATCCATTTTAAAAGGCCGTAACAAACCAATACTCCCTATACTTCCTACCAATACTACATATACTTCCACCAGTCTACGAAACTAATGTTCAAGGATAATGCATTTTCTAATAAATGCTTGAAAAATCGTTTTTTAAAGTTTTAATTATGTTTCAAAACTATTTTATAAAAATATGTAAAGATTACAATTGTTTATTATACATTTCCAATTATCAACAAGCTCTTTCCCGTTGGGAGAAGTCAGGAAATAATGCAATCAACTACCATCAGAGTCACAGTCCGTATCGAACCTCAATATATATAATAATATATATAACACAATAGGAGAAATTCTTACCCATGATAACTATCGCATGTGCCTACATGCACGGCCCGTCCCAACGGACGGTCCGTTCACGTGTGGGATCTAGTTATCTCTCGCTTTCGATCAAATTTTAATAGTCTACGGACCGAAAGCACAAACATGTGCTGGTGTGGTAGGGTAGGGCCGCGCAACATCTTCGGCTGTTACACGAATGACGAAGTCCGTGCAGGTAAGTACCACGATCTCACAGAAGACCGGCGTGAAGTGGTAGTGTCACACTTCTGCGTTTCGTATGGTGCGTGAGACAGCCGGAGCCCACTTTATTAAAAGGTGGCAACGCCTCTGCAACCTTACGAGTGCTGCAAATGTCCACTTGTTGTCACTCAACACCAGAGGGGCCACCAGCTCACTTGCCACCTTCTCACATAAAAAGCAATATGTCGAAGTAAATTAAAGTTTTTCCGAACTTTTTTTTAATGTGAGAAAGTGGCAAACGAGCTGGCGGTTCACCTGATGTTAAGTGATAACCACCTGCCCATGGACATTTGCAACACCCGTAGGATTGCAGATGCGTTGCCACCTTTTAATAATGTAGGCCCCGGCTACCTCACTCACCAGACGAAACGCAGAAGTGCAACACTTCTACTTTACGCCGCTCTTCTGTGAGGTCGTGGTACTAACCCGGATGGAAGTGCCCATTCGTGCAACAGCGAACACTGTTGCATGGCCCTACCACCCTTAAAGTGGAAGTATAATTAAACTTAAAAAGATTCACCAAATAACTGGATGTCCATTTTCACTAACCGATCAACTGCTTTTCGCTGGGCTTCTGTGACGTTGCGCTTTCACAGTTGTTCAAACACAGCAAAAGTAATTTTTTGGCTCTCCTATTATCGACATAAAGGTAATTGTGGTAGAGGTATATATTTATAAGAGTCGCCGTCGCGTCGGGCGTAAATTTTATAGACAGTTTTGATTCTTTTTTCAAACTACAATTTCCATGATTCAGCGCTGGGGGTCATTCGATTCCCAACCGAGATTTAGTATTTCTGTGAACCACAGACAATTATTCCAGATCTGGTTGTTGGTCCCAAAGGAGGTAGGACCTCTGTCAGGCGACCGGTCGTAAAAACTAATAAAAAACCTAATAAAAAACGTATCCAATACCATTGTATTGGCTAGGTTTTTTATTACAAATTGTGTCCATATTGCCAATGGACAATATGATCACAAGCTGTGTCGACCCCAACCTAGGTGGGATAAGGGCAAGTGCGATTAGACAAGAACATGATAGACGGTGATAGAAAAATAACAAACACATTATCGTAAGTAAAATGCTTCTATTGGGTAAAATACTTCTATCGGGTAGTAGTATAGTTATTAGAAAAGCAGACTTACCATTTGTAAAAGCATATTGGCGCTCCGATTTCATATTGCACCGTTATAATTCCGCTGATTATTTTCACCATATTGAGGCAGGCGAATGCAACACACTGACGATTCCCAGCACTCTAATGAGCTCTCGCTGCAAGCATAACTAAGTGCGAATACGCCTGTACCATTTACGTTAGTTACCCCAGTGCTTCATTCAAATAAGTTGAGGCTCGTTCGAGCCACAAAGTTGGAAAGTTAAAACAAATAAGGCATTTGAATTTCCAACTTCTCCTAGATTTGAATATGCTCGCGGAGCTAGTAGAAAAATATTCAGTGCACACGTGTACAGAGAAAGTTTTGTAAGGATAGTTTCGGAGCGTGGTAGTCTCTAAAATAACCGTACAGACGATTTTTATTTTCGTGGGCGTATAAAAAAGATGATAATGATCAAAAGACAACTCTTTCGTTTAACAACAAGGACATGATGAAAAGCGTTTTACGGTTATATTATAAACCGATAGAAATTAGACAAACCTGAGCGGCAGAGGATAATTAAATCCACTTCTATTTCAGTTTTTATTATGAAAATATAAAAGCAAATACGAGTACGACTGCGTGCGACCAAATCTAATATTTAGAACTGGACCCTAGTAACATTGTTCGAATCAATGTGGGGACACAATACATTTTAAAATCGATATTAATTGAATTTAACAAAAGCCTTTGTTCCCTTCCACGTAGTCAAATTTAAGGTAAATGAGACTTTAATGCGGCCCTGTCCACAATAGACCGATGAGAATGGCATTTTAATGAATTGTGATAGTAGAGCCTTTCTCATTTCAGCAAAGAAATCCTTTTGAATAAGGCACCTACGTCTCTTGAAAAGATGACT